GATCCTTTGCTCTTTCAATGTTAATAACATTGTAGAACGAGAGGTTATCTTTTTTTGTGGGTATAGTTTTTTTTTTTTTTTTGAACAGCAAAACTTTTATTGATAAAGAGTAAAAGGGGTACTCAACCCATGAATTTACACCAAACAACATTTTTTTTTTGTGGGTATAGTTATAGTCACATAAAAAAAATGTTAGGGCTACACATATTATTAATTTTTAATAAATAATTAATTATAATATTTAAAAATATTAAATTATAAATTAATTTTAATATATTAAATAATAAATATCAATAATTTTATATCTATTAACAAATAATTACAATTTGAATTGCATATATCCATTAATAAATAATTCTATATTATTACAATATATGCAATTGAAATTAACTTGTGTTTGTGTTTGTCAACTTGCGTGGTGATAATTTCATGCTTTGAATTTTGACTATAATTAATGGAGTCCCTAACTTTCTTGACAAGAATGTAGCTGAAGAATGCTGCGAGATAACAAACATTGAAGAAAAATGACAAGTATGAAAATATGGGAATGGGAGGGATCGAGGGAGACTTTTGAAAAAGGTTGTCTTGGAAATTAAAGTTATCATGCAGAATTGCAGATCTTGAACATAGATTTTCTAAACAATGAAATAAAAAAAGGCGAAGCAGTTCCACATGGCATCCACCATAACACTTGCATTTGCCTATGTTGTTTCTTTGTTTGCCACGTTCAAGATTTTCTTCTGCTCTCTTCTGCCCTGCAATGTGCTTCAATAATCAAGATCTTCTCGTATATTGGTGCTGCTTTTCGTCTCTAATTTTTTTATTCAGAGATACCTTTTCAGATTTTCAATGCTTCCGTATCCACACAAAATGTATGCATCGATCCCATAAAAAATACATGTGACATGTCGATAATGCTTGGTTGGTCACGTAATTGATAGAGATTTAATATGAATAGTATTAAAAGTTTCGGATTAATATCTTTATTATCATTTGGTGAATAATTTCCTTGAGTTACTTTTGTCATTCTTGAATAGTTCTTGCACGTTAATTTTGAACGGAGTGAATTACAAACACATGTGAGACCAATTGGATTAATACTCTTTATCCATGTTATCTAAAAATATGTTTAGTTTTAATAATTAAGGAATCAAGTATTGAGTTTGAGTTTTGTTCATAATACAAGTTTAATTAAGTTTCATATTTATCCTCATATTGTTTATATAGTTTTTATAAATTTTAGTTTAATAATGTGTTTGTATTATGAATTCGTGACATAATGATGGTCTATATCTATTAAAATGATAATGGATTTGGTAGATCACAAGCTCTTTGTGCCATGTACGCCAAGTGTTTATTTGTGTGTGATTATGCTATTTTTTTTCCTGTTTTGATAGGGGTAGTTCATTGTTAGGCTGCATCGCGTCTTTTGAGTTGCATTAGTAGTTTGGTTGGTATTGCTTTCCATTTGTGGACGTGTAATATGAGTTGGAGTAGTCATGGTACTCATTTGAATAAAAAAATTATTAAAATGATAATATAAAATTTTATATAAAAAGAACTACAATAAAAATATTTATAAGAATTTTTCTTTTGGAGATGTGAGATTAAGAAGTATGAACCCAAACTTTGAATTAATTTGGAACAAAGTATATTTTTGTGAAAGATTTCAGACATATGGCATCAACATTTTCAATAATGGGCAGCGCAGCATGGAAACCGTACAGCAAATGGTACACAATTATTGATCCGAATTAGGCACTAATGCATGTATGTGTATTAAAGAAATTGCCGACTAAAGCACAAAGGCAATGTGTCAGATAACAGAAATTAAGGTTTGGTTTGGGTACTAAAATCCAACACATAATTGAAAATTGGCAACTTGTTACTAATTAAATCAAAAGTTAGAGACTTCTTTCTTTTGGGGGCATTGGCAGATTCAGTGCTTCAAATCCAGGAGATCCAAGGTTTCCATCCACTAAATAACATGTTTCGTATTAACATTATTATCATTAGTTAAAGTTTCAGAGAGGTTTTTTTATTTTTTATTTTTATAACTACAATTATCTCACCTATGTCTGTAAAATTTTAATCAAGTTGATACCTATTCATTAAAATTCTGTCTTGTATGGTTGTAGTTTCTAGGTTTTAATTTTGAATTTTATAAGTTTTGTAACTCTAAATAAAAAATTCATTTAATTCATGTATGATTTTCAACATATTATTATTGATTTTTAGAGAAATAAGAACAAAATAATTTTAACACTACTAAACAAGTTTATACTTTTAATTGTAAATGATAAAACTTATCTTAAACAAATTTAATTTTTAATTTTTAATTTTAATTTTTAACTGTTACAAAAATTTTCAAGACCAAAAACTATAATTACACTAAAGAGAGCCTAAAAACTCTTGATTTAAGATTAAAGTAAGCAGTTCAAACTCTTGCATACCATCTCACCAAGTTTAAACAGTTAGGTATTTAAACTTTCATAACCACCAATTATCTCACCATGTCCAACAGGTTAAAAACTAAAGCTTTCATATTAGAAATTAGATTATTTACCAGAAAAAATGGTGTATCAGAGATTAGATTATAATTTTCTTCCTCGAAATGTTAGGTTCAAATTTTAGAACAAATACGAGAGTATTTTTTTATCTGAAGAGTAGAGGTTCCATATTCAATTTTACTATACTTATCAATAGGTGTTATAGAGTATATAAAATACATCAACCTTTAGCATAAATCATGTGATTTGATAATAAAATTATTTATATTTTTAGTTACAAATTTAAAATTCAATCATTAATCTTCAGTCTTCCCAACACAAAAAAAAAAAGGGTCAAATTTGCAAAGTTCTATTATTCAAAAGTAACCAAAAAGGATCTCTAATTAAAAAGATACTTTCCATTAAAAAAGTGGGTTAGAGTGAGAGGGTAAGCAAATAGTAGTATCATATATTACTCCTTACCCCAAATGAAAAGAAAAAAAAAAATTACTAAACAATGTGAAATCCCAGATTCGAATGTAGTTTTTATAGAAGAGGAGACCATTTCTCTTGTTTATGGATCACAAAAGTGCAAACCTAGGAAAAGTAAATGCTAATAGTACTACTATCTACAAAGTAGGAAAAGAATTTAGAGAAGGAAAATCAAATTCACTGCTTAAGATTTCGAGGTTTTCAAAAGCCTAAATAATCCACCTGCTTCGCGAATTCGTGAAAACACAATGCAGAAGGCTGGAACCTCAATGGATAAGTCCTTAACTTCAAGAAGAGGATTCTATGGTTTTCAAAAGCCTAAATAATCCAGCTGCTTCGCGAATTCCTGGAAACTCAATGCAGAAGGCTTGAACCTCAATGAATAATTCCTTAACTGCAAGAAGAGCAAAAGAAAATGAACCACTATATAATAAGAAACAATAAAAAGATATACAGCATAAAACTTGTAAATAATCAATTGAGCATTGCAGCATTGCATGCACATCAGCAAGAACTTCTATATTGGTAGCAGATAAACTTCATAGCATGATACTAAATTTTGATGGTACAAGTAAAAGTTATCAGTAGTTAATCAAGCGAGCAGATGAGTTCATAAGACAAGTTACCATCAATAATTCTGTTCCTGATTAAACTCTGCAGAAAAACACATACAAGTCGTACAAGTCTGTTCTGCATGTACCTATCCTGAAACATAACAGAAACTTGTTAATGTAAAGATAATACTCGCCTGCACATCAGAGCCACCAATTATTGTCTCAGTAACTTCAAAAAATTTAAAGCATAAAGCAGGTTGGGTAGGAGTATTCTGCTTAGAACAGATTCAATAAAATGGAGGACCTAAGAATAAGATACACGAGAACCATCCTCCATAAGGTTTTGCAAAATATAATTTTATAAAACTGCTGACACGGGACAGGTTAGGGGGTATGGTGGGCTTGCGTCAAGTTCACTTTCTTTACAGACATTTTATTGGGGTAGATACACTTCACATAAGATTCTTTTAGACCAAAATAACCAATCCGTTTCCATTACTAAAACAAAAGTGCTATTACATTTCCCACTTGTTAGCTGTGGGATTCCCATTGAATTACAAACTAGCAAGAAAAGAACCAAAAACATGTTTAAGGACTGGGTACCTTGATGTTCTCACAGGATGAAATACAATTGATTATATACATACGGACAAATTCCTTTGGAAGTTCGACAGCTGTTGTGAGTCTGTTCACAACTTCCATTGAGTGTAGACTCATGTCCATGTTAACCAGAACTGTAAAATACCTGCTTGCATATATACATTTATATGTCAAAAGAAAAAATTATTGAATGAATTAAAAGCTTTATCAATGCACCAAACACTCACTCAGCAATTTCAGGTGAATTTATCAACTTGGTTAAGACTTCGACTGCAATGACAGGATTGTTTTCAACTAGTTCCTGAAAACAATAGGAGGGGGTTGAATGCCAAGGCAACATTGCATCAATTATAAATGAGACTGAAGTTTTCAAATAACATACTGGCAGCTTCCTTGGAGTCAGCCCACAATGATATACAAGCTTTGGGTCATTGGCTAGCTCCCCCAGGACGTGCTGTGTGATGATTAAAAAAAGAAAGTTTGATCTCATTCAGTTTTAAAATTATAGATGTAACAGATACCTAGCATGAAATTGTAAAGACATCAGAAAATCTATTTATACTAAGATTAAACACACATTTTATCTACATATGACATAAGATAAACCCAGCAAAACAGGATGCCTTCAGTATCCTACAAATGGTTGAGGGATCCAAATCAACTGATCCAAAATTGAACAGCTCCTCCAATTTTTGCTATAACTTTACAGTAAATACATAAAAAGGTAAAACTTTGAATAAGTTATAAAGATAGTTTTTCAACAACTGAACCAACAAAATGAAAATGTTACATCAAGGTTACATACAAAACCAGCTTTCAGCTGTAATATCAATGTATCATGGGATGAAGATCATAATTAAGCAAAATGGAATTCCAATCTAGAATCAAGATGGAATATGTTTAATGCTAACAGAGAGATAAGGAGTTTTATGGCACCAAATGTTATCTTAAGAAAAATCACAATTCAGAGAGAGATGTTTAAACACGTCATAAATTGAACCAGTCAAATTGTCACTAATTTTAGGATCTGATTCAGAGTCCACAAACCACACCAGGGAAAGATCATTTAAAGCATGGACAAGTGTGTAGATAAGTACATAAATGCAGAACTGTATGAACCTCTTGTAGTGGAGGTGCAAGTGGACCCTTCAAAGCCTTTGCAATCAAGTCTCTAACAGCTGTTCCCCTGCTAGCATCCGCACACATACCATGATCCCATTGAAGCCCGTGATTATTATCAGGATTGAGCCAGACGAGCTGAAAAATGTTTAGCATAGGTGAGAGAGAGCAAACTTTAAAAACCAATTAAATATTTAATCCTAAAATACCTCTTACCTCCCTCTCATCTACAGGGAACATTGGTGGAATAGGCCTGATCAAGCAAGGACTTAATCCTCCTACAGACATATTTGCCAACAAACCATTTACAGCTTCATCTCTATCCCCAGATCCAAGTTTAGGTTTGCCTCCAAGTTGCGAATTGAACCTAAAATGTGATGCTTCATGCTTGAAACAACATAAAATAAGAAAAATAACAATAAACATCTCAAGAATCTTTCACTGCCAAGATACATACTCTGGTGAATTTGCATCACAACCAAAGGGAACATCAGGGTCTGACAACACATTTCTTATGGCAGCAATTTTAAAAGTTGAAGTATACGGTTCAGGATGCACTTTATCACAGTACTGCTGCTGCAGCTGCTCTCGTTGTGGAAAAGCCTGATATTAAACAGATTATTAACATGTATTAATCAGCTTAATAAGAACTAGAACAAATACACAAAAGGGGGGATGGGGGAGGAAAGAACTAATTAATGCAGCAAATATCCATCAAGCTATTTCACCACTATGGTTACAAGAAAAATTTTATGGTCCAATATTAATCAACTCATTGACGCAACTGTAAGCAGCACTAACTTACATGAGAGGAAGGATCAAAGCTTTTGATGTAATCTGCAGCAGACAGTTTCACAATCTGCAACAAGAAACCATTCTCAAAACCATAATGACGAAAAGAAAGATTATGGGATAATTTTCTGAATTCAACTAAGCTTTCAGTGGATAACCAAAAGATTCTAATTTGACACAAACATCAAGAAAACATCCATCCAACTAGGGTTGCAAACAAACAGAGACCTCAGTAAACAGTTCAGGCTTAAGTCAAGCAAGATCACAGTCGGGCTTCAATCTTGGGCAACCATGAAATCAAATTTGGAGATTTCTGGATAAAAGGCTCATGGTCCAGCTTGATGACCATTTATAAATAGCATGATTTTATATTAAATAATAAATTATATGAATATATTTATGTATTTTTTAAAATTTATAATAATATCAGGCTCAAAGTTGAGTCTGATTAGAATATCAAACTTTGAATCAAGCTTGAGCTTGAAACTAAGCCTGCATAAATTTAACAGAGTAGACTGTCAGAGCCAAACTAGAACAAGTTAAAGTTCAACATAGTGTAGTTTCTTTCCAGCCTTTCATCATAATATCCAAATCAGTGAAGGATAATCATCTACCAACATAGTAACATCAAATACTGTCCATCTAAGAGTGAAGAAAAGCCAAGCTAACCCAAATACTGTCAAGATTGACTCTAAGCTCAAAATTAATTTGAACCAATATACCAGCCTTCAGCTTGACCACCTAACTAAATAGCTGGGCCTGGAGTCCTAGACTAGATCTCAATAATCTTTATTACCAAACTTCATTTTATACATATAAAAAATTATACAAATGATCCAAACTCAGCCTCGAGAACATGAAACTGATCTCATTGACATGTGAAGGTCAAGCTTGTTTCATTTATTTATGCTCGACCACAATACAAGCTCTGTTGATTTATAAAAATAATAAGTCAAGCCTGAATAGCTTGCAAGCAAGTCACATAGATACAACACAAGCAAACACCAAAGCATAAAGCGTCAAGAGGCTATGAGATTGGCATGTTCAGTATACCTATGTGCCTAAGAAACTGTCAAATTAATGAGGAAGAGATACAAAGTCATTACAGCTAAGGCACCATTTGTGCCAAGAAACAATTTTCAATATAAAGATGATAAAAGATTTCATTACTTTATTTAATATATCTCCTTATAAATAACTTATGATCAAAAGCTGATTTTTCATAACCAAGAAAGGTGCGCAGAGGTTTGGCAGTGGTAGTCACTTGGGAATCAATGAAAAAACTTTTCAATGAGGATTGACGGTGCTAACAGTGGTGGTGATTGATCTCAGGATATGGTTGTCAGGGATAAATAGTGGTCACTGGGACTGGGTGGTGACTAGAAAACAAAAAGGTTTACTAAATGTATAACATGGTATAAGTTTATTCCAAATTCAGGGAAATGAAAAAATGCATCACTGCAAGTTTTTTGGTGAAAAAAAAAAATAAATAAAGGGGTGTATAAAGAAAAGGCTTTAATAATCCAGGTTCAAATGTTCAATAATCAACAAATTTGATTTACTAATATAACCAACAGACCATGCAACTAAAATTGAAAATTTCCAACTTATTGCTAGAGTCCCTAAAGGGGTGACAATTTTAGAATTAGATAGAAATAATCCAAGGAATATAATCATATCATTTCAAGAACCATAAGTCTCTAAAGCGAAAAAAAAAACCTCTTTACTGTTGTTGGAGCTGCCAGAGCCTAACAAATGGATAATGAATGCCCTCTCAAATTTCTCAGCTTTATCATCACATGCAGCCTGTACCAAAGATACAAGAAACAAAGAATTGATCTTATAAAAAACAGAAACATACACTACCATTGTAAATCATTGGAAAGTACCAATAGACACAAAAATATAGCCCAAAAAAATGTACATGCAAGTTGAATCAACCAGAAAGTTGATAATATAGAATGAGAGAATACTTGAATACTGTTATGAGAGGGATGGAAAGGGAGAGAGGGAGAGAGAAACCATGAAATTAAGATGTACTGGGCCAATTCCCCAATATGTATGGTCAGTATAATTCCACATAACAAACTTTGTTAGACCAGAAAGCCATGAAATTAAGCATAACAGGGCTTGGATACTTAGCCTACATTTACAAGAAAAGATATAAATGGGTTTGCAGAAGGCTTTTGGGAGGAATAACTCTGATGAAGAATAGCAAATGCAACCAATCGCTCGGAAGAACTGAGTTGTCTTTTGTCCTGCAATTACACATCCAATTGGTCAGCAGTGGTTGATGATCGAACCATTTTCACAAATACCTTCATTATGTTCTTGGTAAAAAAAACCTCCAAATTTCCATGAAAATCCAAAGATATAAAATGCAAGCATAATCCTGTTGGCTAAGTATCCTTGCTCAGAAACTGGTATTACACAAGTTTCAGCAGAGCTACCATATACTCAAAATATCTAGCATTACTCACATCCTTCACTAATCAGAAGATTAGGAGTAATCAAGCTTACATCTTATATATGGCCAAATGAAGGCCATAATTAACGTCTGAGCTAGCAAAGCAGACAATAATTCATAACTTGAATTAACTAATGATAAAAAGAAAAAGAAAAAAGAGAGAGATTATTTTAAGTAAACCTACTGAGTAATCATCTCCAACTTAATAGAAAATAAAAGCGAGTAGTTAGTTTTCATTTTCCAGTCTTAACCCAACATAAAAAAAATAAAAAAATAACAAAATTGAAGATTTAAATAGGCAGACAGCCAAATGTAACAGGCAGGAGATCTTAAGAGCAAATCTTCAGAAGTCAACTGCAAATCTTAGAAGTCTTTTAAAAATAAACTCCAATGTATGGAATCCAAAATCAAAACAAGTTATAAAGATTGCATATATAAGCCAGATCAACAGTGCAAAGAGCCACTCTCATTATCTCATAGCAATAATATTCTTCGTGTATAGTCTTCATGATAAAATTGAAGTACAGAATGTGTGTAAATTCAACCTGATAATTCCAGATTATTTTGAACAATTAAAACCCAGTAAAGGTTTAAAATTTAAATTCTATAAAGATAAAAATGCCCCTTTTTAAACCCAGTTTTACTCTAGCAATCTAACAGCAGCTTCCATTAATCCCAGAATACGAGAAGTACACGTAAACTACAAACAAAGGACAGTAAAGAAAACAATAAGCTAGAAATTCTAGAAAGCTCTTTAAAAAAAACTCCGAAATCAACAAGCGAAACCCTAATTACTTTATTACGCTGAAACCAGTGAAATCAAGTACATAAAATCCATGGAAACGGAGAGAGGAGGGGAAAGAAGTGTTTATCTTTACCTGTAAAAGTAGGGAGAGAGAGTAACAGATATTGAACAGGCGGAGGTCGGCGTTGCTGAAGAATTCGGACAAGATCTCTTCCATCAGCCGTTGTTCCGACGCCGATTTCAGGAGGTCCAACAGCTTACGCTGTTCTTCGTGGTTCAGCATCTTCTTCCCCATTTTCTGTTTTCTGATTGTAGTTGAATTTAGGTCGAAAGATGATTGGACAGTGTGAACTCTGCCGAAAGAAGAAAGAGGAAAGGGAAAAGGGGAAAGAGGGCACTCCAAATACGGGTCGGATCCTGTCTGAGATGTCCGAGTTTATGTATTTTATGGGCTTTGCAGGCTTGAAGGCCAGACTAAATGGGGCTCTTTGTAGGCGCATGATCTTGCCCTTTATTATTAAAAAAATTTACAAATTGTTAAAATATCTTAATTACAGTTTAGTTACTAAGACCTTTATAGTATGGCTCCTTTTTCTAAACGTTGAGACATTTTAATTGTTCATTTTCTCTATTATTACTATTAAGTAATAATTAAATGACTCATTTCGGTTCAACGGTATTAAATCATAGTTTAGAATTGTTCATCTCTTATGAGTGACGTGTTTGGACTACACGGAATTTATTTTCTTCCTCCCCATATATACTTGTAAATAATGTCAAAATTGTTAAAAAAAAAATACTAAGTAATAATTGTTTTACTCAACCTTTGCAAAACCTTAAAACTCAAAGTGTAATCGGATTTAAGTCATCGAAATTTATATTTTATATTTTTTATAAGAAAAAGTTTTGCGTATAGAGGTTATTTTAGTAATTATCATTTATTTACTTCATATCTTTTTGTATGTACGTGGAAAAAAGACATTTGGTTTGTAGTAAAACTAATAGTATATATTGTAGTAAATTAAAACTTAATTTAACAATGCTATACTGTATTGCTACAAAAAAATATTTTAGTATTTGATAATTATATTTTAAAAAACTACTTATGATAAAATTACTCAATTAGATACACTATTAAGTAAAATTAACTAATTAATAATTTAATATGTAATGTATGGTCAGTTTTAACCAATTAAATTGGAAATAATTTTTCTTTATTAAATTTTATTGTAACAAAACTAACAACATCAAATTCATAAAAAAAAAAAAGCGTATTTATTTGAAAAAATAGGATATTCCTATAACAATTCTCTCCCTCTTAACCAACTAATTACAGTGTCTAGAAAATTTTCATGTGACAAAACCCCTTACAATTATCAAACCTAGGAAGTGAGAATAGTTCAAGAGCGGATGGAATTTATAGTGAAAATAATTATGGTAAAAAGTAATTTAGTTGAATTAAAGTTTATGGTGGATAATAACACAAGATTATGAAGAAATTGATGTTCTTGTGTAATTGGAATTGTTTGATATGAAGAAAGTTTATATTACGTGATCAAAGTGGAAAAGAAATATGATTGACAATGGTATTTTGAAAATTTTATTAATTTTGGATAAAATAATTTTTGTATTATATTTTTTTAAAAAATACATACACATAATTTATTAAATGTAAAAGTTACAAAAAGTATTGTATACAGTACCATCAAATGAATTTTAAAAGTTATGGGGTTCGCAGAACAATCAAAATGACATAATGGTTACCTTTTTAAAAGTAAAGAAGAGATTTTGCGTGCTAATTGCAACACAACTGAGTGTGAGTTGAAAAAAAATTAAAAAATGTTGTTTTTAATTATGTAATTTAAAAAAAAAAAAGGTTTTGATTTAGTGATAGATGAAAAAGCTAATGAAAATTTGATTTAATTATTTTTTGAACTGATTAAAATTTCATATTGTTATAAATTTTTTAAGTGAACTCAATAATTCATTTATAGTTTTTTTTTTTTTTTTTAAGGTTAAAGAAAAATTAGAGATGCTCCTTGCATTTGCAGGGTCATGCACAAACTAGTTATTCATTAATAGAAGTATGACCATTAGGCCTCAGCAAGTGAGGCTAGTAGCGATGACTGGAAAAATTTACAGTCGAAAAATATTTGAAACTAACCAAAATTATGATTGATGGGTTTTGGGCCAAATTTTTGGTTATTTCACTCAGGTTTGATTATAATCGAATTCCTACTTGGCGAGTTTTGGTTATTATTGGAGTCTAAAAACCAAAAACCAGTATTAGGTCGAGTAAAACCAAATTTTTTGAACTTTTCTCCATTTTTTCTTCTTGTTTTTGAAATTTAAGAGATCACCACTGAAGGATTTCATTGACAACTACATTACACGTGCATAACATGACATGTAATTCAAAATAAATAATGAAATAAAAATAATCATTAAAAAATTTGAGAAAGCTAAGCTCCATGCAAATGGCTCGACTGTCTTTTTTAATTGCTTTAATAGATAAAAAATCAACTCTGCTTCCTTTTTATAAAAGAGCACATAGGAGAATACCAAAAAAATATTTAAAAAAAAAAAAACACATAAAGAGAGTATGTCATATTATACATGCTCTAAATCTTTCATTATAAAAAACCACATCCATGCTTATAATTAATTTTTAATCTAGTGACTTTCGTTATATGAATTTTTTATTTTGTAATTTAAATTATAAAATATAAATTATTAAATAAAACAAAAACATGTGCACAATACATTTTTGTTGTTAAAAATTTTTAGTAATATTACATAATTTTTGAAATGTTGCAATCTAAAATAACATTCTCATAATTTTTTTGTGTGAAAAAGTGAACTGAATTGCCCAAACATTTCAATAGAGGAGGTTACATTTTGAACCAACCTCAGGATATTTATCTCAGTGTCTGATTTGCAGTTCCTGGTAATTCATCTCATGAACGCAAGGCACAAAAATTTAGACGATTATGCACATCTGGCATCCCTATGTTTTATCCTTTCTCATATCATATGAAAATATTTCTTTCTCATATCAAATAAAAATTTCATTTCAATTCTATTGAAAAAAATTAATAAGAGTTTGGTTAAATTAATATTAATTAATTTAAAAAATTAAATTTAGGGTTAAGCAATTAACCCTATGATATAACCATAAATTAAAAAAAAAAAAAAAACTTCATTCCATCATTGTTTTAATGTAAAAAATTTCAATGAGTGAGCCTTAGAAGTAAAGTTTTCATATCATTCATGTGTGAGTTTTTTAAAAATAAATAAATAAAAAATAAAGAAACAAAGGATGTTCCATAACAAAATAAAAAACTAAGTAAAATTGTATAGATTGAGATACAAATATATAACATCCACTTCAAGTAATATAGGACTCATATTTACAAAAAAAAATAACCATTTTAATATCAATTAAAATAATACAAACAAAAAACTCACAATTGGTCTAATAGCATCTCAGGTTAAAGTCCCTAAACTCTTACAATAATAATTGGTTTCAATACTTATGTGATACACGTGTAATACAAGTACATTTAACCATTTAGAGAATAAAATAAATAACAGAGAATTCATCCAAAATATTGTGCCCCATGTTAATCATAATATCTGCTGCCGTACTTGATTCACGCACCACATGGGTGATCCTCACATGAGGGATTATAGCTGTAGGAGGTTCCTACAGGCATACGAAAGCGAGTTAAGCGGATGAGAATCTGAGGGATCTTTAGTTTAAACAGAAAATGTACAGTAGCCTGAGGGCCAATTTCAACAATCAATGAGAAAAAACATTTATCACAGCCAGATGAAGACCATCTTTTATAGCCCATAATTCCGCCACTAAGATTGACGACCGACCAATCTCTCTAGTATAGTTAAGAACCTAATTGCCCCAAGTGTCCCTGAA